ACCCCTCACAATCACACACACACACACACACACACACACCCGTGCACACACAAACACAGGTCACCACTGCTGTCTAAAAGTCATCAGAAAAACGGAGGATTATTTTCCATTCAGGGGGGATTTTGCTAACGCCTTTCTCTGTCGCACAGGTGTTTGGTAGTGATAAACAACTCTCTTTCACTCCTGCCCGCTGCGTGTTTGTCCGCGTGTGTGCACCCGTGTGTGTATGTGTGTTTGTTTGATAGATTTGGTGTGTACGAGCTAGTCAGTAACTCGTGGTTTGAGAGAGATGGTGTTAATCCTAAACCTTAAGTCTTCATAATTCATATTAAAGTCAGGCTTTAACTTGGTAATTCACTTAACACAGGAAAACAGGCAGCATCTGCTGTTCCCCAGCTCTGAAACTGCAGTCTATAGAGAAATAAGTGATAGAGCAGTTGCCATCTACTGTATCAATGTCCTCAAATCAGCTTTCTCCATCCTCAGCTGGCAATAACACAATGTTGTGACACTATATTTAACACTAGAACCGTGCATAATGCAGTATAAATACAATATGTTACAGAATGCAAGTATGAAAGCCAACACACTCATAAAATGCCCTGGAGCAGTAGAAAATCCTACTTATAAAGAACCATGCAGGACAAGGAAATTACAATATATTGCAAATAAACAATCAGTGGCACTCTGGCACATGGTGGACGTTAAAACCAAATAAAGGTGTCTTACACAGTCAAATAAATACTGCTCTAAGTGTAAAATAAATAAATAAATAATAAAAATAAAACCCTAAAATGTAATATGCAGCTCTGTCCCTAGAAGCTTCGGCTCCTGCATGAAATGCAGCATTAGAGCAGCCTTAAAATGTGGAATTGTCATGATGGAGTTTACAGTATTTAATAATTTCACATGTAAACATTTATTTTTTTGTAATTATCATTCCGTGTTTCTGTTCTTGATTATATTGCATTATACTGTTTACTTAAATTAACTTTAAGATAAATACATTCCATGTATTCCTCATTAATCTTGTATGCATCAGCCATGAGTAATTTACATACACTATCGATCAAAATAAAATATCACTGGAATAAATTTTAACATTGTAATAAAATAGAAAACAGTTCTTTTAAATTGTAATAATATTTCACAATATTGTGTTTACTGCATTTTGATTAAATAAATGCAGCCATGGTGAGCAGAAGAGACTTTCATCTGAAAATCTTACTGACCCCAAAATTTTGATACTGTATAATAATTACTACTACTACTACTACTACTACTACTATTACTAGAATATATATATATATATATATATATAAAAGCAAGAACAAGAAAAAAAACAGATTGTGTTACATCGTGCTGAATGCTAGAAACTATAATTTTTTTTTCTAACGGGAAGTGAAACGGAAAGCGTAGTGGCACTTGCAGTTTACACTCTATCCATAACGGACATGATTGACGCAACACATTACAGCAAAAGCACATAGAGCTCATTATAATCAGTGAATCTGTCTACACTGGACGTGCCAAGTTGGCAACAGCAAACGGATGACTATTTTTATTTCTGACAACAGGCGAAATAAGGATAACTGCCATCTACTTTACAGCGATGTCTCTAAGTCCTTATATGTATTCTTACTCAAATTGGTCTGTAACATGCAAAAATTGTGGGAGGTCTCGTCCATTGGGTAAAGCTCCAATTATTAGCTATTAGGGAAAGCCTAATAACAGAAATGTTGCTGGTTTGAGTCCTTCATGGGATGATGCATGAGCCATTGCTTTTATGCAATCAATGTGATTTCCCTAGTGTGTTTGGTATCATAATTACTGAGTGCAGTTCTGTTTACTCTTGTGTCTGTCATGTGCACCTGAAAGAACTGTAGAGATGCCAAAATTGCACAAGATATTGTGCGAGATATTTGAAGACCATTATTGGTCTTAGGTTGCGTTTTGAGTGGGATCTCTTGCTCTCATTCTGTTTGAAGAGGTCTGGAGTCTATCTCCTCTTCTGCTCTCATGAATATTTTAAGGGCTTCAATGTGGAAAATAGTTTTGTTTCCCCGGAGAACATTATTTCCCAGCAACCTTTGATTGTTCACTGCAGTTGGTCTTCAGAACTGGAGCTGACACCTTGTTCCAATTATTCTTGGATGGAGCTTTGTTCCAGGGAGTTCTTTTGTTGTTGGTGTTAGTGGTGTTTTGTTTTTTTGTGAGAATATGCCTGTGGTATAAAACCCACTGTCAAACCACCATACTCTTGCACTTTACATCCAAAAAAGGCCAAAAATATTATATTTTGTGCTATGGACTACTGTTTCTTGTGTCCATCACAATGGCATATTTAATTATAATCTTCACATTTTTAAATCATTTTTAAATTCTATTATTTACATTTAGCAATGTTTTGTTAATTAAGGTGACTGTTTAACTGATGACTTTTTTTTTTTTCTAACAGGGATTCTTTGTGTCGGTATTTTACTGCTTTCTTAATGGGGAGGTGAGTCAATCATGTATTTAATTTCATGGTTGGACAGAACCGGAAGATGACTATCAATATACAAGCCCTTTCCACAGCCATATCACCCCGTCACCTTATCTGTTCTCTGCCACCCAAGTCTGTTATTATGTGGGAGGCTATTTACACTGACTCGCTTCACACCAACACCAAAAGGAGCAGAGCAATTTATCAGCACCCTGCAAACTGCTCTCTTTTAATAGGGCTGTTTTTATTACTTATAGGATGCCTCTTCAGACACCTGTAATTGTATCTTCTTAATATCAGTATCACTTGACACATCTGTCATTTTCTCCAGAGATTTTGTTCTTCTATGTCAAAACAGAACGGTAAAACTGATATTATTTGTGTGGGTATAGCTATAAGCTGGCTCACATATAGAATGTGTGAACATGTTATTAAAATTTCTGTATTGTGGGTGAAACTTTTTGGAATTAAAAAATCTTTTAAATTAAGTGGAGTCACTTTTAATGGTAGTTGACAGCATTATCAAATTAGTCAAAAAATGTAGTAATTGAACATGCAGGGGGTTACATATGCATCAGTAGCTGTTGCTATGGGAACGTGATTGTCTGAAGCCTGTATAGAATCACGCCAATTGATTGGCTGATGATGCTTAAGGAATGCATCACCAGTGCCTCAAAAGGACATGCTTGCGTCATATATATATATATATATATATATATATATATATATGATTTTCAATGTGGTCTCATAAGTTTCACAAATGAACTAATTAAAGCTATGTCATTTAGAGCTGAATCATTATTTGGGTTCCCTGCCAGATAAACATTTATTTATTCTTTAATTTGTGTATTTTTAGAATGTTATTCTGCAGTCTAATGGCCTCTCTTTATATCTGATTTGTATTTAGGGTAATAATTGGATTTTTGTTATGACCCCAGGCAAGATGGAGAATATTCTTCTTCAAGATGGCTCATCTTACCAAATATCTAGACAACATCAACATCAAATCAAACCATGTCAATATCAACTGTCATTATGTCAGCTGTGTTTAGATGGAGGCAAAAGCATCCTCTCTCATGACTGACGGATTAAATGAAGACAGGTTTAAAATGGAAAGCCTATAATATGATCATCCAGTTCTTTTTTTCTGAGCACTGCTTCTTTTTAACTAGCATTTCATGTCAAACTTTTAGAAAGCTACAAATCAGGTCCATATTACTCTATCCCAGGGTCGGCAACCTATGGCACGTGTGCCAACATTGAGACGCAGAGGGATAATCAGTGGCACGTGAGCAATAGGGAAAACTGCATATCGACAAACATTTTGAGATAATCATTCCTCATAGTCACACAGCCTGTTAGGAGCTATAAATACTATTATTTGTGTGAGTATCTATTATACTATTATTTAAGTGTGAGAATTAACCAGCGCTAGTCTACAGATGCACGTGGCTCCAGCAAACTATCCGCGTGACCGCTGAGCATACGAGGCGCTGCAGATCAATGCTGTGCCGTGCTTTCGCATAGGTTAGGTCTGTTTAGCTTCAGTCACGCTATACGATTGAGTGCATTACAGTTTATTCTGCATTTGTTGCTCTTAGCAATAAATAAAATACCACTATAAATTCTGGTTATTTTTAAGTCGGTACCAAACACAATGACACAACAACATTCACACACACATACAATGGTGTTCAGGGTCACACTGTAAATCTGTTTCGCAAAGTCTAATTTAAACATTAAAATAAACAAACCTTTAGGATTTTGAAAAGTTTAAGAAACAATTCATAAAGAAATGCTTCGGAAATATTTAAGATTTTGCATTATTTGTATGATAATCAAATACAGATTTTTATCTGAACATTTAAAAATGATTATGTACTGTATAAATACATATATTTAAAAAAATATATATCCATTTCAATTTCAAATCTTACACTTGAATGAAGGACAGACTATACAATGGCAAAATATTTTTTACAAATAATCATTGAGGGTTAAAACAATATACTACTATGCATCCTTTGAAATCCGCACGCTTAACTCCATAGCCACCATTTTTTATCTTTAAAAAAAAAATAAAAAATTCATGGCCTCCAGAACATTTTATTCTATGAATATCTGAACATGCAATATGTCAAAAGAAATAACAGAGCCTCTGCTTATAAAAACAAAAAAAACAAAAAGACAATTTTAGCTTCATGAATTGCTTTTTGTTTTTTTTACCAACACTTGAATGTGGGCAAGTTTCATTAAAAAAGCAACATTTTGAACAAAAATGCATGAAATCAATTGTTTCTGCTTCTTCACCCTTACCAAAAAGTAGTATACTTCAAGTTTATTTTAGTAAGTATACTTAAGTAAAGTTCAAGTATATTTTTAAGTATACTTTATGTAGTAAGTATACAAATATCAGTGTACTAGTAGTATACTTGTAAGTGTACTATTTCAATACTCCTTGGGACTAAATTGGCCCACTTTCTAGTATATAAAAGTATACTTTTAAGTATACTTTAAGTATAACAGTAGTCAACTTTGAGTACACATCTAGTTTACATCAAAATGTTTAGTTTGTACTGCAACTATACTAAAAGTGAACTTATAGGTATACTGATAGTTTACTAATTAAATACTTGTAGTAGCATTTTTAGTACACTTTGAAGTAGGCCTATAGTCTCAGTAAACTACTAGTTTAGTAGTTTTATACTGCAAGTATACTCGTAAGTTTTCTTTAAGTGAAATTTACATCCTACTTTAAGTATACTACTATGTCCCTATTAGGTATTAATTTGTATATATTTTGTTATGAATATCTGAACATATATAACAATGAAAACATGGATTCTAGGAGCACAATTATAGCTGAAATATATTTAGACTTTTTCTAAGTGTAAGTCAAGTATACTTAAATGTCATTTTAAGTATATTTCTGAGAAGTACATAAAGCCCATTTCTGAGAAGTACAAAAAAAGTAGACTAAAAGTATACTTTCCTATTTTTAGTTTAAAAGAAGTATACTAATAGCACACTTGAATAAACTTCTTTTTCGTAAGGGCACCTTGTTTTGATCCAGACATTCAGTACTCTTTCAGAAGATATATAATAGCGCCCCCTAATGTATAACAGTGGAAACACAGAAAGCCAGAAAATTCCATCAATGGTGAAGAAAGAGTTAAAGGATTCCTGCTGAAAAAAAAAACACTCCTAGTAGTGAGGTTGAATGCCAACCCATGTGCCTCAAGGAAGAGAGATCGCTTTCTTAACCTACTGTGACATTCTTCATTCAGCCCTGTTGTAGCCATCAAAACAAGCAAACAACTTAACAGATTTATGCCACTGGCTCATGTGGTTAACATAAATCAATAACATTCTCACAAGACAAAGCTTGTGCAGTATCTCAGCCTCCTTTGACTCAAAGGTCGAAGAAGAAAATAATTCAACACCACAACCTGAGAGTGGAATGGAACGGAGGCAACCTTAGATTGTTAAGCTTTGGTTAAAAACGAAACCTTCATCTGATCAGGAGAAAAATTAATACAAGATGGGCTCAACGATAAGGGCTGTAAATCACCAATCTTCTTAAGGGATGTCAAGGCCAAAAACAAGATCATCTGAAGAGTCCGATTTCTCAAGTGACTTGAATGAAGGCCATGGTACACCTTCAAGGACAGCGGTTCCTAACACCGGGGTCGCGATCCCCACTAGGGACCACTAAAGATTTACAAGGAGTCGCGAGTAGGAGGGTTACAAGTAGGGATGAAACGGTAACAGTTTGACGACAAACCACGATAAAATTCTCGATGGTCATTATTTCTGTTTAATATTTTAATTATCATTAAAATATTATTGCCATGATTTGAAAAACTCAAAGTAAATACTGTCCAGCATTAAAGGTGACATAACATGAAAATCTGACTTTTCCAGGTTTTAAGTGCTATAATCAGGTCTCCGGTGCATCTACCAACCAAGGAAACGTGAAAAAGATTAACCCAGTAACTTTGTTTTGGTAAGCCTTTTTCTGCAAGCTTCTGAGAAAACAAGCGCATCTGATTTTGCTCCCTTGGTGACGTGGCAAAGGGATCTCATTATAATATTACCGCCCCTTAATCTGTAAGTTTACACTCACTGTCATTTTGATTTCGCAAGCTACAACGGTGTACTAGTTCTAAAGCCATGGCGAAAGTTTGAGCAAAACATGCTAACTGTTCTGTGTTTGGCTGCACAGACGAGCACAGAACACTGTTTAGAGTCCCAGCCTCAGAGACAGCTCTATTCTGGAAAAGGGGGCGGGGAGCAGCAGCTCATTTGCATTTAAAGAGACAGGCCCGAAAAACAGCTTGTTTCTGCTTCCACTCAAAATAGGCATTTTCAAAATGAGATAATAAATGATCTGTGGGGTATTTTGAGCTGAAACTTCACAGACACATTCTGGAGACACTAGAGACTTATATTACATATTGTAAAAAGGGGCATAATATGTCTCCTTTAAGCAAAGATAGTACCAGTCTTACGCGGGCACAGCATGCAGCGTAGATTTTTTTTTTTGTGTGTGTGAAAATATGGTGGAAGGCAGTGAAAGGTTTTACATCCGAATGATGAAGGAAATTATATGAATTGAATTATGAATGAATTATATGAATGTATCTCTAAAGGGAACCGACTCTCTTGCGAAAAGTTAGGATGGCATTTTTTTATTTCTATACTGCCAGTGGTTACCATGGAAACAGCTTTATTTCTGTTGTTCCAGGAGTGCCACCTGCTGTCAGACAGTGGATTTACATTTTTATTCAGACCGTTTGCCATTTTTGTTCAAAGCAGTGCAAAAATCTTCATTTTTATGCACAGCTGTAAATTTTAACCAGTTCATGGAAAATAAGTTAATGTGCATTCTAAAAATCTAAGCAATTCAGATAATAATGTATAGTGTTATTAACAGAGCAGATAAAACACCTATAACCATTCATCATTTTGAGTCATAACCTTTTTCTTAAAAATGGCTTACAGTCTGAAATGTCAGATTTATCTTTTTTTTTTTTTACAAAACTTTTTTAACATGTAATACATGTTAGTAGATAACATATCATGTTGTAGTCACTCAACCATAATTGATAATGTCATTATTTTATGTTTCTGATGTTGTTGCATTTATTAAAATCTTAACAACTGATTTGGTTGGGGTTGGGGGTGAAATAGGGGTCACCTGAAAAAAAAAAAAAAAGGTTGGGAACCATTTTTCTAGGACTATAGATAATAATGGGCATAATGTGCTTCTGCTTTCAATCACTAAATGACAGATAACCAACAAATAACTTCAATCACCAAGTGACAATAAATACAGCAACAGAATAAACAGATACAGAAAACAAAAGTAAAGTACTGGTAAGTACTAAATCTGCAAAATTTATTTATGTTGCATAGCATTGCTGGTATTTAGGTACCTTATTATTATTCATAATTTTCAAACCTTACTCAAAAGTGCTCAAGTTGTTGTAAAATAGATCAAAGGATTGTTTTACGGCTGTTTAAGATACTTTATTTCAGTTGCTTTGGATTGCAGGAGTGCTTCTGTTGCCCAAAGGCTTGTCACCTTTTCTCTGGCAACAAATTCAAAAACAAAAAAAAACAAAAAAATCTCAACATAAAAAAGCCAAAAATCAGTAAAAATGTGGGCAATTAATATGTGTTAACTAAACTAATCTATTTACTAAAGGTCTGGTATGGTATGGCATGTGTATACACTGATCAGCTTCAACATTAAAGACACTACCAGGTGAAATGAATAACATTGATTGTATCGCTACAATGGCATCTGTCAAGGCGTGGGATATATTAGGCAGCAAGTGAACAGTCATTGCTTGAATTTCATGTGTTGGAAGCAGAAAAAAAAACTAAATAACATTTATTGTGTGTGTCCTCACTCATAATAAAGTCTACTGAGACACACACTTTCAAAAGGGCATCGTGTTCCACCATGAGGAATGATAAAACTACTCAACGTGGGTTGCTGAAACATGATATTCAATAATCCAAAGGCTTCTCAAAAAGCACAGACAGATAAACTATCTTCCTGAAGAAAGGAAATCTGAGGAGTGATGTTGCAGGCGTGTGTTTTTGAGGCACTGGAGACGCAGTGCCTCGGTGGGCGGAGCTTGCAAATTCTCATGATTCTAAACTGGCTTCAGACATTCATCACACCTGAAGGGTGTATGCATAGCTACTAATGCATGCTACTAAAATTGCATTGAGTAAAAATATGAAAGGAACCAATCTAACTTTCTTTTTTTATACCTATACAACACAGTGGCACTATAAGCGTAAAGGAGGTCGCACACCGAACGTGAAGTTAACTATTTGTGACTAATATCATGCAATTTAGTGGAAAACTGTGAGTGGTGCTCTGTGGCCCACTGGGATTTTGAACAGCCTCTTAAGTCGTAGCTGGGAACCGCAGACAGACATTGATGGCGCCGCCGATGTGCTAATAAGACAAACAGTTGTACTTTTCACATTTTTACTGAATGCATTGAATAATCATTGTCAGAGCAGCCATGTCCATCCCCACCTCCCCCACCCGCATCAGCTTTCACAGCATCAAGCAGACCACAGCCGTCTGACCTTTACGCAATAGCTTTTCCTCTTTTATAATTCAGCCACACAGTTGGACTGCAAGTGGCATGAGAGACCAAGTGATTGTTTTTGGCCTTTGATGGTCAGGAGTGTGACATCTGACAAGCAGCAAATTTAATTTATATCTCTTGTGTAATTTTGACAATGGCCCCTGAATTGAAGGGTTTTAACTGAACTGATGAAATGTTTCTTTTCACTCAGTAGATGCAACCATCCAGAAGACCCTATCTATCTATCTATCTATCTATCCATCCATCCATCCATCCATCCACCCACCGCCAGCATTTTGATAATTTCACAGAAATTTCATGGCCCCTGGAATATTTTGTTGTATGAATATCTGAACATGCAATGTCAAAGGAAATAACAGAGCCTCTGCTCGAGTATTCATGCTCGAGCTTTATGCAGTCTTGTTTTATCTACACTTGTATGTGGGCAAGTTTTATGTAAAAAAAGCAACATTTTGAAAAAAATTTTTTTGTCAAAGACTACGTCTGGATTGGATTCAGAACGATGATCAAGAAGATATAGATAGAGTAGATCGAGATGTTGTAGTCCATCAACACCCACAAAGCTTCACAGTCCTAAACCACTTTTTTGTCGTCATTTCATTCGGTAATGTTAGGCAGTTTTGATCTATATGCTGTTGTAATGTAATGTTTGATTATTGCATTATTTTACATGTGCATCTACTTACATGTGCGATCGCTTGTTCTTTCTGCTTCTTCTCCACTGTTTTGATCCAGACATTCAATATTACTTCAGAAGATATTTAATAGCATTCAGTAAAAACATGGAAGGCCAGAAAATTCAGTCTCCTAAATGACAAAAAAATATTTTTGTAAGGGTTTTTATGCGTTTTGGCTGTTCATTTACACTGCAACAGAATTTTTGGAGACTGAAAACGCAAACTTTTGAAAACAGGTTTCAAAGTGAACGTTTTTGAAAATGCCATTATTGTCTGTGTAAACTATAAAAACGTGAATATGTGAAAACTGTGATGTTATGAGCATATGTATTATGTGTTCAGTCTATAGGAATGTGCGCAGGCACATAGTGTTTCTCTACAAAATCTACTGGCCTATCATGAATAATAGAGTATTTTTAGTCGTTTTTGCCGATCCCTGTGAAAGGTGATAATTTTGACAATGTTGTTTGACAACTTTTCAAAAACACAGAGGGAAAACGTTTCCATTTTTAGTACAATTATTGTTGTGTAAACATAAGTAACTACAGGTGCAAATACATTTTCTATCTATCTGCCTATCAATCTATCTATCTGTCTGTCTGTCAGTCAATCATCTTGAAAGCTTCTTTTAAAATTAGTAAAGGCAACATCAAGTTTAGGTCCTTTGGTTTATGATGTATGTGATTATAAGAGAAAATATAAAATATGTAAGGTTTTATTACTCCTAGACTGTTGGTCTAATTTGCATGAAACTTGGTAGGCTACCTATCACCTGTAGACCCTCATGACAAACGTTATCAAAGAATTTTGATACATCAAAGCAATGCGAGGATATAAGGAAATTAAATG